CAACAACAACAACAATCAATGCCTAAGGAGCTCTGATGGTGTAGTGGGTAAGGCACTTGGCTGCCACCCAGAAAGTCAGCAGTTCAAACCCACCAGCTGCTCTGTGGTAGGAAGATAAAGCAGTCTACTTCCAGAAGGATTTACAACCTTGGAAACCCCATGAGTTGCTATGAGCCAGGATCAACTTGAGGCAGTAGGTTTGGTTTGGGAATCAGCACCTGGTACAGTGAACAGCAGCTACTCTGGAAATTAGAAAGTTATGTCAGGGCTTGAACCCTGACACCGTTCTGGGGAATGCAGACATTCCTGGCCTGGCCAATCAGTTCCCTCTCTCCTTGCAGTGCGATGGATTGCTTTTATATGGCCTTTCTAGCCATGGGTCTTGTAACTGCCACCAAATGGACGGGCCTATGCAAATAAGGTGCTTATGGCCCACTGAGGGGACTGGATAGCTTGCTAATAATGTAAAGAAGGTGCACAGCACCCTTGTGGGGATGGGATCATGTAAATAAGGTATTCGGAACCCTAATGAGTGGTTGGTGGGTTTTGCCATTCTGTTAGGCTTAAAGGAGCCATCCCAGAAGCGGAAAGAGTGGGGTGACCTCACCACCATCAAGAAGAGATGGGCGGGGATAAACAAGAGGAGGTAGGAGTGGAGCACTTCCTTTGGCCCCAGGATTTCTGGGTTGGCAAATTCCTGGACCCACGAGACAGAGAGAGCCGTATTGCCACAGATGGCAAAGATGGCTAGAAGCAGTGGCAGAGAAATGGCGGCCGCAGAACCAGGAGACCAGCCAGAAACAGAGTGGTGGGCCTCCGGCCCACGGAGCAGCAAGAGAGCTGAGTGCTTCAGGCAGAAGGCTTGCTGGCTGAGTGGGGTGCCTCTGGGCACTTATCAGTGGAGCAAAAGAGCTTCATAACATTTGCTGAAAGGCTGAGGGTCAAGAAGCCAAGGGCCAGGGAGAGGCCTGCCTGCTGGCACAGCTGAGAAGAAGCTGTCCTGTCCAAAGAACAGTATCCTGAGACTTTCCTGATCCTAAATTGTAACCTATTACTTCCCTATAATCGTGGGTATTATCTGTGAGTTCTAGGTGGCCACGGCAGTGAATTTTTGAACCCAGCAGAGAAGCAGAGAGTGCCGTGGGAGGGAAGGCTGGTGTCAGAATTGGTTAAAAAGGCCTGAGAGAGGACGTGTGTCTGACTTCCGTCTCATAAGAATCAGCCTTGGGCTGTTGCTACTGATAAGGGTTGTCCTCCCCACTTCTGAAGGTAGAGGAGGTGGTCTGCCGCTGCTGCCACACCTCTGTTCTTACTCTCCCTTCATAAGAAAAGCCCCGTAGAGTTTTCTGAGAAAGCAGAAACCCAGTGGTGGCCCCAGCACCACAGCCTTGTTACTCTGCTGGGGACTGACCCCAGCTTCCAAATAAGAGTCAATCACACTGCCTTGTGCCTAATGGATTTTGATTTTTGCTCCCCTGACGGCCAAGCCCAGGGCCTGTGCTCTGGCTTGTGTCCCTGTTGCCAGAACATCCCATCAATTATTAACAGCGTCAGCTCAGCCTCCCTTGTGCTGCTACCAGAAGGAGAGGGCTTTCCTGCAACACAGCCCCCAGGCCCTAGAGAAAGGCCTCTGTTTGTTATCGTTTATAATCACAGCACCCACCTCTGTGCCAGGCACTCAGCTGAGTTTGAACAAACATGATTTCATGACTCCCTGCAAGGTGAGCCTGTTCTTCCTGTGTTATAGGTGGGAGCCTGGGGCTTGGAGAGGTGAGGAACTTCCTAAGACCAGAAACTGGGAGGTGATGGAGCTGGGACTGGAACCTGGGCCTGTCCTTGCTCTTCAACCCATCAGGTATGGCTCTTTCTGAACCTCACAAGCCAGTAAGGACCCAGCAGCCTCTCTGTGGGCACTAAGACATTTCCACAGGCCTCCCTGTCCTGACAAGCAAGACATCCCCATTGGGCGGATGATCAGGGATGAGGTGGGTGGGGTGCAAATGACTGAAAGCGGCCAGAGGTGCAGGGAACTGGGTCACAGGTGGGCAGTGAGCAGCGAGTGAGACTCAGTGACTGACAGAGGGATTGGTTCATTACTCCTTCCACATGCAGTTCTCTGCGGCTCCTCTGTGCAGGCACCAGGGTGGGTGCTGGGAACAGAGCAGAGAATGCAATTCATGGTGCTCACACTCTCACGGGGAAGAATGAGAAAAAGACAAGGAAATGAACGTGATTTCAGACCGTGCTTAAGGCTTATGCAGGAAAGACACAGCACAGGGCACAGATACGGAGAGTCACAGGAGGAAGGCTGTCTTGGACAGGGCTCAGGGAGGGTCTGCTGAGGAGAGACATTGGAGCAGGAAGCCAAATGAGCAGAAGGGGAGGGCCAAATGACAATCTGGGGAAGGACATTCCAGGCAGCAGGCGCACAGCCAGTGCAAAGGCCCTGAGGTGGGATAAAGCCTGACTGATTCAGGTAAGCAAGGAGGCCAGGGGGCTCAAGCGGAGAGCAAAAGAGATGGGCTCAGAGAAGTCATGGGGCTGGATGCTGGAGGACCCAGTGTGCCACAGTGAAGCGCTCGGATTTTATTCTGAGGCTGATGGAAACCCTCTGAAGGATTCTGAGCAGATGAATAATGTGATCCGATTCCCATTTTGAAAAGCTCACTCTGGCTGCCGTATAGAGATTGGAAGGCACAGGGCAACAGGAGAAGAAGCAGAGGGGCTGGGGGTGGGCTACAGCACTTAATCATGAAGGAAGAACAGGATCTCCAAAGTCACGCTTGGCTTTGAATTTCTGGCAGCTTCTGTTTGCCTGCTGTGCGACCTTAGGCAAATTACTTAACCTCTCTGAGCTTCCCAATGTGTGAAAAGAAGGGCGGTAACAGAGATTGGTGTAAGGACTAATTGTTGTTACACTCCCATACGCAAAGGCCCGTAGGTGTTTGAAAAGTGGCAGGTCATGATTTCTACAATGAGGGACAACGAATCTGCTTGCTTCCCCATTTCAGCTCCAGCTGCAGAAAATCCTAGACTGTCCATCTGCCAGGAATGTGAGCCAGCAGCCCCTGCCTGGGATCACAGAGAGGTCACCAAGCTCGTCCCTGCGAGTGGATTAACCCAAGGAGAGGCTGTTTATTCCCAAATAGTGCTTCTTGCAAGCCCAAGCTCCCTGCCTGGCTGCCAGATGCCGACTCAAACACAGCCCGTGGTCCACGCCTCTGCAGGGAGGGCGAGCCCACCTCTTCCCTGCCCCTCACTCTCCTCTCTTAGCAGCAGGACAGAGAGGAGAGAGAGTCATGTTCGGGACTAAATGGAGTATAGGGGGCAGAAGAAAGAGAACTGTGTCGGCCTGAAAATAGCAAAATAATCTGTTGATCCTAAGCCGGTTAAGGATGAATGACTCTGTCTTAACAGGAAGGCTTTTTGGACACGAAACCTGGGGGAAGATTATGGGCCATAGCCTCAGAAAAGGAAACCAGGCCCAGGTGCTTTGAGGTCCTTTTTAGAGTTGACAGAGAAGAGAAAACAACAGGGCTTCTCCACGCTCCAACCAGCCACCCACTTCTGTACCCACTGGGACCCTGCCGGGCAGATCTGGGAAAAGAACCTACCAGAGGCCCCTCCACACCTGGAGCTGCAGGTGGGACTTCAGTGAAGGGGCTAGTAGAGCCACAGAGACCCCCCGTGAGAGGCCAGGCTAGACCAAAGCCAGCCCTCAGCTAATACATTATGGCTGAACATGCAGACTTCCTCCTCCCCTTTTCATTTTGCCGTGAATTCTTTTACCTAAGGACCCCTGGTGGTGCAAATGTTAAGTGCTCAGCTGCTAGCCTAAAGGTTGGTGGTTCGAACCTACCCAGCGACTCTATGGGAGAAACAATTGGCAACCTGTCCCTGTAAAGATCAGCTGTGATCTGCCACTTGGGGTGCTATGAGGTGAGATCAACTTGTTGGCACCTTTTAGGCCCTGCTCTGAGAGGTCTCCGTGGCTCTCCCACTTTGTTCTGCCTGAATTTCAACATCAACGGTCCTCTCTGTTCCTCCTGAATACCCTGCTGTGATCTTTCTTTTAGCCCTGGACACACTGTGTTGTCATTTACTCCCGACACCCAGCACAGTGGCCCCCATCTCTCCGAGGCCCCCCTCAATGGCAGCCTAACACGGAGAAGGGGCTCACCAACAAATGGCCTCCTGGCTGGTCCGTCCCCCAAGCCTTTCTCAGCCCACGACAACCTCCAACTTTACCTGGTAGCACACAGGACCCCCAACACACACATCTTGTGTGGTCTCTTGGATTTTTCATTCTCATTTTTCTCTCCTATTTCAAAATTTACATCTTCTTCCAACAGCCAAAGCATCTTTGCAAGGTGCATCAAACCATGCTTGGAATAAACTCCCCAATACGTTAACAACCAGGTCGGCCCCTCACCCACCAGCATCCATGGCAGACTGCCTGCCTCACGCAGGCTCACATTCCAGCCCTTTGCCTCATTTTTCTTATGGTCAAACCAATGACAGTATCTCAGCGTCCTCCAAGCATATCTATAAGCCGCTTTAAGTCCCTTCACGGGGCAAAGTGGGGTTATAAACACAGGAATATGTACTAAAATTGCAGGACAGGCCACCACCAGCCTGGGTCTGGGGCTTCACGGGGACTAAATTCAATTCTACTCCATCTGAGTGAAGCTTTATTATCCCTCTGGGCTCCTTCTTATTCATTTTTTCAGTGTCTGTTCCCTTGCCATGGGATTTGTAAGTTTCTGTAAATCCTTTTCTCCAACAAAGTAGGGGGATAAATTATCCAACAGTAGGAGGATGGGTGTGACCAGTGTCACTTAGGAACATCTGAGGGAGTTGGTCCTCACCTCTAGAGACTCAGCCCTGGGTCCCCGTTCTACTTTCTGGTCTTCATCTCTGGGCACTAAGCCCCAGTCCCTCAGCCTGGAGACACAGCCAAAGCCCCCAGCCTGGCCCCTGCCCCCAGATTCCAGACTCACTTTAGCAGCCACCGAGGAGTTGGGCTTCTCCAGGAGGTCCCAGAGCTTCTTCCGCTTCTCCGCACAGCACGTGTTATCGAACTCCTCGCCCTCTCGCTCGCGGAGGGTCTCGGCCTCACGCTTGAGCTCCTCGTTCATCTGCTCCTTCTTCTGGTGGTAGCGGGCCTGGCAGCAGGACTCCAGGTAGATCTCGTCGATGCCCCAGTAGTCGAGCTCCTGGCTGAAGCTGAGCGCGCACATCTCCTCCATCATGTGCAGCCGCCCAGTGCGGTAGAAGTTGAGGATGGAGGTGAAGGCGCCCGGGTGGCGGTCGAAGAAGTACTCGTTGTCGTCCAGGCTGTAGTCGTCGCACACCTCGAGCAGCGAGTCGTGTGTGTTGCAGTCCCGGAGCTTGCCCAGCCGCGTGCGGGGCAGGCGGTCCAGGGTGCGCCACAGGACCTCGTGCGCCAGGCCCCCGACGTTGAGGCGGACGCGCCGCGAGCACGCCTTGCTGCGCACGATCTCCATGGGCTCCGGCGGCAGCGAGCTGGTGGAGCGGGAGCCATGCTTCGTCATGCCCGCCGGCATCGCTGGTCCGGCCGCCCCCACCCCCCTGCCCCCCCAGGCCGCTGTCACTCGACGGCAAGGCCGGCCGCCGCGGGGAGGGGGGCAGGGAGCGCTGTGGGCTACTGGGGGTGCAGGAGGCCGCGCGGGCGCGCGTCACGGCCGTCTTCTCACCTCCATCCCGACGGCTGCGGGGCAGAAAGCGAACGCGCGTCAGCAAACCCGCAGCTGAGCGCGGCCCCTCCCCACTTCTCAGCCTGGGGGGCCCAGCCGGCCTTGACCTTCCGCGCTAAGCGGCTCAGGTGGGCGGGACGGCTGGGCGCTGTCCCTCCCGCCGGTGCTGAAGTCCGAGAGGCCCTCCCCGTGGATGGAGAAGGGGGGCCACCTCCGGGGCGGGAGAAGGGCCCCACGCGACGCGCTCGGGGTCCGGTAGGCTCCACCCCGCGCTTCCGCGGCCCAAGCCCGACCCACTGCCCGGGGCGCTGTCCGCCCCGTCGAGTGCTGAAACTCCCTTCTCTCTGGGTCTCCCCGTCGGGTCCTCGACCTGACCCCCGCCATGGGGAGAGAGGCGCTATACGAAAAACTTTGTGCTGTGTTTTTTTTTTTTTTTTTTGAGTTCCAATCTTTTTCCTCCCCTGCTCCGAGATAATCTGGATTTGAGTGCTGGCAGGGGGGAGGGCAGGAGGCAGGTTTTCTTTTCCAGACCCTTAAAAGATCTGGGAGCACTTGGGGTGGGGGTGGGGGGTTCCACGGGCCCACCTGTCGGAGATCACAACCGACTGGGTATGCACAACAGCCCCTCCGTCCCGGCGTGACTCCTCTCCCCAAACCTTGTCACCTGAGACCGCCCAGGTGACAAGGTGAGCTCCCAGATGCAAAACACAGCTCGGAGCGGGTTCCGCTCCGCCCTCTGCGCCCCCCACCCACCGCAGGAGGGACCCGGGGAGTCTAAGGGATCCGCCTGCTCGGTCTCCCCCCGCCCTTGCCCCGCTCCTTCCCCGCCCCCTTCTCCTCCTCCTCCTCCTCCTCCTCCTCCTCGCTTCTCTCCTGTGATGGCTTTTTATAACTCCGGGTTCTGCGCCTTCCCCGGGGCTCGGAAGGGAAGGGGTGGGGGAGGTGGGAGGCGGGGAAACAGGCTGAATTTTCAGGCCGTTTGAAAACGTGCCCTCTCCTCCCGCCGCGCACTGGGGATTTCGAGGGGCACCCGTAAGCCCCCCGCCATGTGGGGCGCACGCCCTCGACCCGCATCCGGGAACGGAGATGGCGCTCCTTCCCAGGCCCCAGCCCTAGCCCGCCCCCCTAGCCTGAAGCCGCGGAGCCCTGGTAGACCAACAGGCCGAGCCGCGCCAACCGAGCCCCCCGCCGTTGTCCCTCCGCGTCCCCGCGGCAGGCCGCGCGCCCCAAGACTCACCCCCAGGGCGGCCGCTTCCCAGGGCCGGGGAGCGCGCATGGC